CACGTTCTCCATCAGTCTGAAGATCTATTTCATGATTCAAAGAACCCTTTAATCCTGGAAAGGGTTCTTTGAGTGTTCATGGTTCTATATAGAACCATTTTCTTTACTAAAGAACCCATGAGGAACCATAATTTTTAAGTGTGTAGATTTAAACAGACTGTTTGTTACTGTACCTTTAAGACTTATAAATGTAAATGAGCTCTCTTCTGATTGGCGGCCCTGCATTGTGCATCATTCAGAAAGCAGTCCAATACGGAAGTCCGGAGAGGCCATGAGCTGTTACTATAATTTTCTGAATTGTTATCTAGAGATAACGAATTAATTATCTCAAGATGAGAACGTTGTTGTCTTGAAATAATGAGTTGATTATGTTGTTATGTCAAGAAAACAAAGCTGTTCTCATGAGATAATGAGTTCATATGCTTGTGTTCTCAAGATAAAAGCTGTTATCTTGAAATAATGAGTTGATTTTGTTATGTCAAGATAACAAAGCTGTTCTCATGATATAATGAGTTCATTAGCTTGTGTTCTCAAGATAAAAGTTATCTTGAAATAACAGTTTGTTTATGTCGAGATAAAAAGTTATCTTGAAATAACAAGTTATTTATGTTGTTATCTTGAGATAACAAAGTTGTTGCCATGAGATAATGAGATTATTATCTTGTTTTCTTGAGATCACAAAATAATTAACTCGTTATCTCAAGAAAACCATCCAGAAAATTACAGCAACAGCTCATGGCCTCTCCGGTCTTCCGCAGTCCAGGCTGAAAAACCTCTTATAACTTCAACACGAATGGGCGGGGCTAAACTGCTGTAGGCTGAATAAATGGATTTGTGTGAATGTGTTGGTTTTTGTGACATCACAGAATCAGTGAATTAAAATCACACTGTTTTTGCAGCTTAGTTTCCGTGTATCGATGGTATGAACTGGGTTTTGGAGCTTTAACAGCTTATAATGTGCTAAATCAAACGCTTTCATCTCAGAAAAGCGAGGAAAATTCAGTTTTCCACAATATGGGGCCTTTAAAAGAGGGAACATGGAGCTCCTGTTAAAAGCGCCATTCGGGACAATTTTGCTGGTAGGTTGCTTCTGTTTTTCTAAGGTTTTCCTACGCACATCTATATTCAGTCACTGGGATTACAGTATTATCTCTATGAGAGAGAGAGAGAGAGAGAGAGAGAGTGGTGCAGACATGGCCTAGCCGGCAGTAAATTCAGATGAAAAAGGCAGGTTTTTTTCCCTGTTGTGTTCCTCTGTCAGCGGGGGGCTGCGTTTGATGCTCATGCAGCCTGTCTGCCTCCGCGTCCTGCTCAGCGCCTTAAAGCGTGATGTTTATCGTGAGCTTTTATTCACCGTGAATACACACGTGGTACACATTTACACACGCGCACACTCAAACGTGTTCACCGATCCTCACAGAGACACATTCTGAGGACATGCAACCTGCAAACACTGTCAGCAGACCGAAGCTCCTGGGTGCAGAAGCAGAAAGAGATGCTTGACTTCCGCTGCAGCAGTGACGGCAGCTGCGTCTGCATTTTTCTCATTCATTTTGTGGACGATCTCCATTTCGTCTGTGAGGCTGTTGATTGTGCTGTGAAGAACACTCAAACACCTCACACTCGAAGTCTGATGACCTTTAAAGGAGAGGTTTTGGCAATAGAACAGAAAATGTGCGGAAGTGTGAGACGTAGCTAAAAACAGTAGCAGCTACTTTTATCCACATAAGCAAGCCTGTTAGAGATCACTTAAAGGGCTAGTATCCCCCAGTTTCTTGTATTTTGTTTTCTCCCTTGTGGTCTGTTTGTACCATTTGTGTGGTTTTATGTGCAACCCCAATTCCAAAAAATTGGGACACTGTAAAATGTAAATAAATGTAAATAAAAACATAATGCAATGATTTGCAAATCTCACAGACCCATATTTTATTCACAATAGAGCATAGAACACATATCAGATGCTGAAAATGAGACATTTTACTATTTCATGAAGAATATGAACTCATTTAGAACTTGATGGCAGCAACACTTCTCAAAAAAGTCGGGACAGGGCCGTGTCTACCATTGTGCCTGCAGTCCAGGCCTTTCACCGATAGAAAACATTTGGCGCATCACCCAGGACTGTTGAGCAGCTAGAATCCTACATAAGACAAGTATGGGACAACATTCCTCTCCCAAAACTCCAGCAACTGGTCTCCTCACTTCCCAGACGTTTACAGACTGTTGTTAAAGGAAGAGGAGATGCTACACAATGGTAGACGCGGCCCTGTCCCGACTTTTCTGAGATGCGTTGCTGCCATCAAGTTCTAAATGAGTTCTTGTTCTTCGATACTATCAAGTGAGCACCAGTTGCTATGTGGTGAGCACCAGATACTATCAAGTATGCACCCGATACTACCAAGTGAGCACCTGATACTATGTGGTGAGCACCCGATACGATCAAGTACCACTTATTTTGTTTTTACATATAAATGTATGTGTGTATATGTGTATCTGTATATCCATAAGCAGTGTCAGTGTTCGCTGGTGACAGGTGGCACAAGAACACATAGAGCAACAATGATAAGAATAACAATGATAAGGTAAGTTTATTTGTTCGGACAGCCATAGAAACCTTAATCATTTACCAAATAGTCCCTTTCAGGTAGATATAGCTATATGCAAGATGCTAGATATGCATTGCTAGATATAGTTGGCTATGAATTATGTGAAAACTCTCAAAGTCCCAGCCGCTGAATGAGGTGGTGAAAATGTCCGTGCTCCTTCACTTTTCCAACATGGAATATAACCCACCCAATGGAATCACTAATCCGTTTGTCCATCTTTGTCACTTGAAGACATTTTGCCCACTTGCTCATTTTTGTTGCAGGTGTGTGTGGTGTTAATGCTAAAACATGTATTGCGTAGAGAACAATCCAAGCCTTATAGCCAAGTTAGCTGGCTGACTGTATCCAGCAAAGGCAGCCTGTATTTAGCTCTCTCTCTTTGAAAGGGACACATTGGTAAATTGTCAGTAAAGGCTTTTATAGCCGAACAAATAAACCTACCTTATCACCTTTACGTCACTTTATTTGTTCTTGTGCCACCCTAAAAAGTCATAAATGTCTTCTTCCGTGACGGAATGACTCACCGCATAGTATCTGGTGCTCACTTGATAGTATCTGGTGCTCACTTGATAGTATCGGGTGCTCACCTGATAGTATCGGGTGCTCACCTGATAGTCTTGACTGCTCACCTGATTGTATTGAGTGCTCAAACTATAGTATTGAGTGCTCACCACATAGTAGCTGGTGCTCACTTGATAGTATTGGGTGCTCACCTGATAGTATCCAGTGCTCACCACATAATATTTGGCGTTCACCTGATAGTATTGAATGCTCACCTGATAGTATTGGGTGCTCCCCCGATAGTATCCGGTGCTCACTACATAATACCTGGTGCTCACTTGATAGTATTGGGTGCTCACCCGATAGTTTCGGGTGCTCACCTGATAGTATTGGGTGCTCACCTGATAGTATTGAGTGCTCACCACATAGTATCTGGTGCTCACCTGATAGTATTGGGTGCTCAACTGATAGTATCCAGTGTTCACCACATAATATTTGGTGCTCACTTGATAGTATTGGGTGTTCACCTGATAGTAACTGGTGCGCACCAGATTTTGACCTGAAACAACACTGTGTCCCTTCAGGGTCTCCGTAGGTAAGTAACAAACCTGTAACCTCAACAAAACTGTAACTGTCTTAAGTAATTAACAAAGTTAATTACCTTGTTTGTTAATTCTCTTCTTGCTACTCTTGCTGTCCCTTTGCTGCTGTAGCTCTGTGAATTTCCCGTTGTGGGACTAATAAAGGATTATCTTAAAAATATGCACTAGTTTCCTTTCTTGCCTCTCGGTTAACCTGTTTTTCTCAGTTAGTGTGTGTCTCAGGATTGAGGCTGTTCACTTGTGTCTGACTGAGTGTGTTGCGATGGGCTTGTATCGTTACTTTCTGACCTTGGAGACGTTTTGTTGTCTATTCATGAGGCTGCAGTAAAAGTGTTTTTTGCGTTCGTGCCTCCTGATGTCTCAGCAGTTTGTGGTTTCTATGGAGAGAAAAGAGGGAAATCAAAAGGAGAAGTTGTCGTGTTGTGTCGCGATGGATAGCTGGTTGTTCCTCAATACAGAGAAATGAAGTCACTTTTACCGTCAGTGTTCTTTCAGCTTAGATCCTGTTAGCTGCTTAAAATCCCTTTTAAATTTAAAACGTGGGTTAAAAATAAGGATCTGCATGTGAAAGTGGTGATTCAGCTTCAGTCATTCTGAGATGCTATAATAATATATATATATAATAAATATTGAACCAAATAAAATCACTGTTTATTGCTTTAATATTACAGTTGCTTGCAAAAGTTTGGTCAAACTATCTTTGGTTTGTTTTCTAAGTGAAAAAAGTGAACACTTCCTCTACACTTCTGCACACATTAATGCACAATTACTGTTTATTTGCTGAATTTAACATATTGGGAAAAAATAAATAAAACATAAAATGTGGCCTGTGCAAAAATCAAGGCCTATTTTATATTATATTTAGTTTTTTAGGTGTTTTGTTTGGGTTTTTCTCCCCCAAAATGCCATATTTTACCATGTTCCCTAAAGATATGTTGACTTATTTACACTTGAAAAAAATACATAATTACTTTCCTGTAATTTCACTTTATGTACAACAAATAGTCAATATGACAAGCGATTCCAGATGTTCGTACGGCAGTTAAATCTCCCAAGAGCCGAGAAGATAAATAGTTGAAGCCTGCGATCTGTTTGTTAGACTGCAGTAGAGAATGTAGAGGAACATTGATAGAAAAGGTCAGCCGAGGTCAGCCGAGGTCAGCCTCCCTCTGGAGTGTTTGGTTTTTCTCAAGTCAGCGCTGAAAGACCCTTTGGGGTCGAAGTCTTTATCACTGACTGCGTTCTGTATCTGGTCTTTACTGAGCTCTTTCTGCCTGTGTGTGTTTTTCAGTTGCTGGAGTCAGCGGAAGTGAAGGAAGACGCAGTCCTCTGCTGCTCGATGGAGGTGAGAGGAGAGAGTGAACAGCCTTTAAAGGAATGCTCCTGTGTTTTTCAGTGCTTCCGATGCTTTTCCCTGCACTTGGAAAAGAACAGAAAACCCATTGACTCAAAATGAACTTACAATAGAAGTCAGTGTGCAGCAGAATCACATGAATAAACATTTAAAGCGACTACATTATAGACGCACTTTGTATCTCTACAGTTATACAGTTACAGATTGTAGTTCAACTTGTTAGCCTTTCTTTCTTCAATGGTCAGGACCCCCACAGAGCAGGTACTATTTGGGTGGTGGGTCATTCTCAGCACTGCAGTGACACTGATGTGGTGGTGGTGGTGGTGTGTTAGTGTGTGTTGCGCTGGTGTGAGTGGATCAGACACGGCAGTGGAGTTTTTAAACACCTCAGTGTCACTGCTGGACCGAGAACCAAAAACATCCAGCCAACAGCGTCCTGTGGGCAGCGTCCTCTGACCACTGATGAAGGACTACAAACTGTGCAGCAGCAGATGAGCTATTATGTCTGACTTTACATCCACAAGGTGGACTGACAAGGTAGGAGTGTCTAATAGAGTGGACAGTGAGTTTTGATCAATGTTAGCTAAAGTAGCTTTTATGACAGATGACACCACTTGGAGTAAGCATTTATAAACATTTGTGTAGGGTTATGTCGGTTGTAATGACAAGCTTATATAGGTGTCATGTAGGCTAATGAACAGTACCCTACAGTAAAGTGTTACCCATTATTTTTATCTCATAAAACTGCCACACATATCTGCCAAAATAACAATAAATTGACTGATTGCTGGCAAAAACCTACCAATTCCGATTGGCCGATCCTGATTGCGCATCCTTACATGTTTGTGTCACTGCAGTACTGAGAATGATCCACCATATATAAATAATACCTGCTCTGTGCAGAGCAGAACAAGAGCAAACGTATTGCCTTACGCTATTATACAGATGCATAAATAGAAGAAGTAAATATATATAATAAATATACTAAAATAACCATAAAAAGATTATATAGCATTATTATTATTGTTTATTCTATTTTTTCTACTTCTTCTACTTCTTATCATTATTATTAGTATTATTTTTTTTTATTTTATTTTATTTATATAGCGCTTTTAAAGACAAGTGCCAACCAAAACACTGTACAATAAAACCAAGCAATTCCAACAGAGAAAGACTAAGTAAAAATATAAATAAAACAAACAACAAAGCAACAACGACAAGATCAACCAACAAAACAGAACAAAATAAAAGTTCTGTAGGACTTAAAAGACTCAAATACCTGGGAAAATAAAAAGCTTTTTAAATTGGACTTTTACGTGTCTGTTTTGGGAGATGATCTTTTTAAAAGGTCAGCTGTTCCCTAATTTGGAGGCTGCACAGAGAAAACTCCCTCACCTTTTGATCTCAGCTGAGTCTGTGGGACAGTTAAGAGCGGTCTAAGACTCTTAAAGTAGAAAGTGGACAGAGGAGATCAGAAATATACTATGTAGCTGTGCCATGAAGACAGCTAAATATAAACAATAAAACCTTAAATTGTGTTCTGTACTTGCCTAGTAACCAGTGGAGGCCAGTACCGGTCAAAAGCCTAGCTGCTGCATTTTGGACCTTCTGCAGGTGGGACAGAACTGACTGACAGTTGTCCCAATTAAAGGAAATTACAGTAGTTAATGCATGAAGAGACAAAGGCATGAATCACAGTTTCCACACCCTTCGTTGACAGAATGGAGTTTGGTAAAAGCTCTGAGCTGGAAAAAACCTCTCACCACTGCATTTTCCCGCTTGTCAAAGTTTGGTGCCGAATCAAGGATGACACACAACTTTTTTGCATAGCTGTGTATGTTATTAGACAGTGGACCCAGTTTGTCAGCTGTAGCAGCACCTATATGGTAAGTGGACCTGATAAAAATGGACATTGACGGCTCCCGAGTGGCACAACCGTCTAAGCGTTGGCCCTATCATCAGGAGATCGCGAGTTCGATCCCTGGTGATGCTACAGCCATCCGTAGCCGGGAGTCCAAGGGAGCACAATTGGCCTCGCTCTCTCTGGGTGGGTGGGATGGCCCCTCCTTCTCCCCCCATCACTCAGCGCGATGCTAGTCAGCGCCGGCGTCTGTTAGCTGACGTAACAGATCTGGCGGTTGGCGCTTTCCTCCGAGCGCTTTCGGCTGTCCAGTGACGCTGCATGAGCGGCAGTTCGAAAAGAAGCGGTGGCGCTTCACAGGTCTCGGAGGAAGCCTGTGTTAGCCTTCACCCTCCTAGCGTTGATAGCGTCGTGTGATTGGGGGAGTCCTAACTAGCGGGTGGAATTGGAGACGACTAAATTAGGGGAGAAAATCGGGTAAAAATAAAAAAATAAATAAATAAAAAATGGACATTGATTGTACATACAGGGTAGGTGTACCTAATGAAGCAACCACTGAGTGTGTAGTGAATGTATAATGCGAATTCAAAGCTGTTGGGCTATAAAAACAAACAAAACCAAAACCTATGCTGCCCACTTTTCAGTGGCCTCAAGGTAGACTTTTCTTTTCTCACTCGAGGTTTTCAGCTCATTAGTCTTCAGTCTCTCGCTGTTCTCTCTCTCTGCTCCCTGCTCCCTCTCTGCTCTTTTAACAAGGTGCTCACGCTGCCAACCAGATCAGCATCAGCTGAGGCTGACATCCTCCTCCCGCCGTCTCTCGTGTCTCTCGGCGGTGTTCGGGATTCGTGCGCCATCCACCACTCACTCGCGGTGTTCCTCTTCCCGCTTCGTCCTCGCTCGGAGTTCGGGCCCCACCCTCCTGCCGGCTCTCGTGGCCGTCATCAGGGCCCAGGGGACAGGCGCATGCCATATTAATCTTTTAAGTTTTATCCATCCTTTGAACGCTTCAGCAACACAAAAAAAACCTGTTAACTCTTACAGCTGAATTTACAGATACTTTCAATTGAATTATTCATGAAAGTGTTCTAAAAAATACACGTTTAGCATTACGTGTTTATGTTCCAGCGCGTCATCTTAGATCTGCAGATACTGACCTTCTGCAAACACTGTAAAATACAGAAAACATGAAGAGACTTTCAGTTATTCTGCTTCTAAACTGTGGAGCTCAGTTCACCTTTTATTAGACAATCAAGCTCAGTGCTCACTTTCAAGAAGCATCTAAAAACGTCTCTCTTTAACTCAGTGTTTAATTAAGACTCTGTTTCGTGGTTTTTATCTTCAAATTTGATCTGTCATATTTTTATGATTCTAAATTAATACTTTTAATTTCTTGTATTTCCGTTCAGCTTTATCACCTGTCTGTGAAGCACTTTGAGCTGCACCAACATGAAAAGTGCTATATAAATAAAAATGATTATTATGAATATTTGCTGCCCAAAGACTTCTCAGTGAGTGAGTTTGGAGTCAGGAGGTTTTCTGAGTGCAGGAGAACGTGTCAGTATTGTCCGTGGTAATGGACGGTGCGCTGCAGATGCAGCAGATAGAGACAGAGTTAAAAAAGCTGAAATGTTCCTTTAAACACTTGTGAAAGTGGTGCTGATTTACATGCAAGAGGAAGAGGTTTGAATCAGCAGGATGGAGCACCAGAGAGAGCAGAGCACATTGTGTCGAGACTGAGAAGCTGCTGCTGGAGGCGAGAGAGAGAGAGAGAGGAAGCAGAGAAGAGGAACTGTGGGAGTGGGAGCTGCTGTCTGGAGCTCATGAGAGAGTTGATGGGTTCATTAATAATAAAGCAGATCAGAGAGAAAAAATAAGTGAAATACAGAATAAAAAGAGTGAGAAAAGGAGGAATGCATAAAGTCAGAGAGAGAGAGAAACTGAGTATGAACAAGTGAGTAGGAGAAAGAAGACAGGGAGACAAGAGGAAGAAGAGAAAGTGAGGACGAAGGTGGAGATGGAAAAGTGAAAAGGAGAGGTAAGAATAGAAAGAGATAAAGATAAAGCGAGAGATATAATGAAAGAAGAGAATAGATAAAGAAAGGGAGAGAGGTAAAGAAAGGAGAGAAGAGAGAAAGGGAGAGAGGTAAAGAAAAGGAGAAGAGATGAAGAGTAAGGGAGAGATAAAGAAAGGAGAGGAGAGATGAAGAGTAAGGGAGAGATAAAGAAAGGAGAGGAGAGATGAAGAGTAAGGGTGAGGTAAAGAAAGGAGAGAAGAGACAAAGGGAAAGAGGTAAAGAAAGGAGAGAAGAGATGAAGAGTAAGGGGGAGAGGTAAAGAAAGGAGAGAAGAGACAACGAGAAAGGGAAAGAGGTAAAGCAAGATAGGAGAGAAAAGATGGAGAGCAAGGGAGAGAGGTAAAGAGGAAAGGGAGGGAGAAAAAGGAGTTAAAGGGAGAGCATAAAGGAAGACGAGAGAATATAAAAAGAGATGAAGAGAAAAGGAGAGAAAAGAGAAAAAGGAAAAAGAGGAGTTAAAAGGAGAGCAAAGAGAATGAGAGAGGTAAAGAAAGATGGGAGAGAAGTCGAGAGAATAGAAAAATTAAGAGAAAGGGGGAGAGGTAAAGAAAGGAGAAAAAGAGATGTAGTAAAAGAGGTAAAAAAGGAAAGAAGCGATAAAAGGAAAAGGAGAGGTAAAGAAAGAAGAGAAGAGATAAAGAGAAAGGGAGAGGTAAAGAATGATAGGAGAAAAAGCGGATGGGGTGAGGTAAAGAAAGGGAATAGAGATAGAAAAAGAAGAATAAGATGAAAGGGAAGGAGAAAAAGAAAGGAAGTGAGGTAAAAGATAAGAGAGAGAAAGATGGGAAAAAGATAAAATGAAAGGAAGGGAGATAAAGTAAGACAGGAGAGGTAGGGAGAGAGAGACAATAGACAGGAAGACAGTTTACAAAATTGGAGATTAACCTCCTCATGAAAAACACTGTAGGTATTGTAAAAGGAGGTGAGAGAGTCAGTTAGACAGAAAGGGGGCTGGGGAGAGAGAGACAGAGAGAGAGACACAGACAGACAGAGGGAGAGAGAGGGGGATCAGTGTTTGAGACGGTGGCGAGTGCACTAGACTGTGTCTAAGGCCTGTTAAGGCTCAGCGTAAGGTGAAGGGAGGTGAACTCAGACAAACCTAAAAATCCCACAGCAGCCACGTGCTCCCATACACACAGTACACACAGCCACTCACAGTGACTCACAGGCTCGGAAACGTCCTTCACGATCTTTATTTGCCAAGTACAGACAATTTTTCTTCAAATACAGCAATACGCCGCGATTTTAGCACAGGTAAGAAATGTTCAGCACACGTCAAGCATAGTGGCTAAAACTCCCGTAAACATGGTAATATTGCTGTAACACACGGCTTTCTGCTCTTACCAAACGCAGACAATGTACAGTCTGATGAAAAAAACACTGATGTACAGTAAATTATTTAAGTCTCAATTAACAGTCTCAATAAATAGTGTCTCAGACATCAATGGCTGTGTTTACATGCCAATCCAATTGAATACAATCCGATTAGATTTAGACTGAGGTGTTTATGCTCACTCTACTCAACAATCTGATAAAAATCTCTGTTTACATTCACACTACAAGTAATTCGATCCAAAATTACGTGCATGCATAGAGAGACGACCATCTGGCGAGTTGAGAAGCTTAGTGTACTTAGAGTAGACGTTACCATGACAACGAGCGTCACATGAGTCCAGTCAGAGTGAGATGAGCAGCAGTGAGCAGTGCTTGTGTTTTTAATTGCTTTAAAATGATGTCAGACTCAGGAAAACGTCCTTCACATGTCCTTATTAAAGAAGGCAGAGAGGAAGACGTCGTGTTCTGAGACACATAAGCTGGACGTCCGTCCCACCGCCGTCTTTTAAAGATCAGAGCAGAAACTTCGTCTCCTCTGCAGACCAGTTTCTGCTCCGCCATGTTGAACGGTGTAAACTTTCACTATGACGTGACGAACATGATCAGAACGGACTTAAACTTTCCGATAGGGAATGTAATCGGATTTTTACACAGCTATTATTCTTCTGTTTAACAGATTGTGTACAGGATTACCCACCTCGATCAGTCGGATAGAAATTGTACTCCGAATGGCCTCAATCAGACTAGTGCAGGGGTCGGGAACCTAAATGATGTGAAGAGCCATTTTGTCCTTTCAACAAATTCAAACCACCTTGGGAGCCACAACATTTTATATCCATTTTACCATCTTGGCTGTAAAAATGTCTCAGTATGTGCTAGACTAAAAATATGAAGGAGAATGCAGACTTACTTTGCTCTGCTTTAATCTTTAGCTCAGATGTAGCCACTTTTCTCGCATCTCCAGCAGGAAACTTTTCCACAAAAGTAGAATCATTTCTTGTAAAATGTCTCTCAACGTTCGACCTTTTCACGAGGCTGATGTCGCTTCTCATTCACCAGCTTCTTTTTCGAATTTTCCCGATCCACCTTAAACGGTGCCTGAGGCACCAGAATGTAACTGCTGCACCTTTAAGGTGGAACGGGACAATTCAAACAGGGAGCTGGTGAACGAGAAACTGACTGCAGCTTCACGACTTCTTAGTGTTTGTCAGTTTTCGTTGCAGATTAAACGTATCAGGAAACCAGCTGGAGTGATTATAAATGCAAATAAGTCCATTAGTCTCCAAATTATTGATGTTAGTCTTAACTCTTTTACTTTTCTGTTTCATTAGCTACTAGCTAGGCAAGACTGTTGTCTGTGTTGCTATGGTGACCAGCAGTCTGCACACCAACATACAGGGTTAAAGGGTGAATTAGCAGTTCTACATTAACTCCATTATTTTATTTTTAACTAACAGTCTAATTCTGCTGTGAAGCCACAACAGGGCAGTGAAAGAGCTTTAAAGTGTTTACATGGACGTATTCCATTCCGACTGAGCTATTAGTCGGATTATTACTGGATTATCAGGCCTGGCTGGTGTATACATAACCATTATAGCTTTCTGTAAGGGAGCTTTTAGAGGCTTTAAACTGTTCAGACGTCCGGTTCCTATCACCACCACTGTGAGCAATTCTGACTAGTTTTCTCTAAAGCAGAGCATCAAAACACTCTGAATGTCTGTTGACATCTTTTAAAATTTTGAAAAATCAGTGGAATTTCCCTTTAAGGCACACAGCAGTGAAGGGAGGTGAACGTAGGAAAGTAAAAAGAAGGAAAGCCCTCACAGACGCATTGGAGAGCGATGCTGTCTGCACTGACTTCAGCACAGCCGTCGTTCCAGGGCAGAAAGGCACATTCCCATTTAGATAATGCTCGTTGGTGTGGCCAGCCAGACTAATGCATGGACTTAACCAGCTCTCCAGCAGACTAAGAATTATACCTAATTACCTTTCAGAGTGTAATTAGGTCTCTGCGAAGACCCAAACACCTAGGTTTGCGTCGGCCCTGTTTGTAATTACCGCATGTTTGGGGTACATAATCAGCCCTTTTGAGTGGGAGGGGGGGCCGCTGCATGGAGCGCACTTACTGCTTTATAAGGGGGTAGAATATCAATAATTAGCTCGCATGAGGTGATGTCCCACAAAAAGTCCTCATTTAGCAGACCAAACCCTAGGGTTCGTTTGGCTTCGCTAGCGCAGCGTCTAATTTAGCCGTCTCATCATAAGTATATGAGAATAACGCTAACAGCGCTAGGCGAGCCCGCGACACGCGGTCCTCCTTCACCTGAACTGAAAAGGTTCTTCTGTGTTTCTCGGCTTTAAAGGGCCGATATCATGGAACGAATACCGTAGTAGTGTGGTTACCACGGTTGAAGTTTCACACCTACAGTCTGGAAACGAAACTGCACAAACAGTCTGCATTGAACTGTTTGCATTGATTGTTTTTGTGATGTCATAAAAACTCAATACATTTCTATACTGTTTATCTGCCACCCATTGACACTGAAGTTATAAGGGGTGTTTCAGCCTGGATTGCAGTCATTTATGTATCGTTCTTAAAGGCACAGTAACAGCTGCGCTGATTTCCTCTTCAGAGGTTTCGGAGGTATTTAGTATTATAGAAACGACATCATGCTAGCTGATACATACTGACATAATACCTTCCTTCTGTTGTTAGCCATGTTGGCATGTTTGGTCAGTCTGTTTTTTTTACTGGAAAACTGGAAAACAGGCTCAGATACACAAGGAGGGATAAATATGTCAGGATGGCCTTTATCAGATACAGCGCTGCTTCACTAATTCAGCCGCCAGATAACAGAGAGATATGAAGTTTCACACACACAGTTAATGATAATGATGATGATAAAGATCGTCCATTAAAGCGTGTGTGTGTGTGTGTGTGTGTGTGTGTTTGTGTGTGTGTGTTTTTGTGTGAGAGAGAGAGACTCCAGAGTGTTTAGAGTGGAGAAAGAGAGAGAGCCTATAAACTGGATCAGGAGGAGACACACAGTCTAGCCAACAGGAGTCTATACCTCTCTCTCTCTCTCTCTCTCTCTCTCTCTCTTTCTCTCTCTCTTTCTCTCTCTCTCGCTTTCTTTCTTTCTCTTTCACTCTTTCCTTTTCTCTCTTTCTTTCTTTCTTTCTTTCTTTCTCTTTCACTTTTTTCTCTCTTTTTCTCTCTCTCTCATATACATATATATATGCTTCTCTTGCCCGCTTTTTCTCTTTTACTTTCTCTTTTCCGCTCTCCCTCTCTTATGTGTTCTCTTCTTCTCTCTTTCTTTATTTTTTTACTCTCACCATTTCTCTCCCTCTCTTTTTCTTTTACGCTGTTTTGATCACTCTGTTTTACTCTCTTTCTCTCATGTTTCTCTTTCTCTCACTTCAGCTCTGTCCTCATCTCTTTTTCATTTATCTTCTCTCTCTTCTCGTGTAGCTTTTGCAGGACCAACACTTACGCTTATCCGCCATGCAGCCTTCACCTCTGACCTTTCTCCCTCTGCCCCACCCTATCCCTTTATGCTCTCTGTTGTTCCTCCTTGCCACATGTTCCCTCTTTTTCTCTTCCTTTTTTCTCTCGACTCCCTCCCTTTGTACCTTCTTTCTCTCCCTGTGGTTGGGGATAATGACTGTGTGTATGTTTGTTATCCAATTTGTGTATATATGTGTGTGTATATATATATATATATATATATATATATATATATATATAATATACACGGGCCGATATATATACATACGAGATGTTTCATGTAAGTGCTTGCATATACATTCCAAGAAGTGTGCACTGTGCAGAAGTCTTACTCACATGAAAATATCAGATAAACACTTATTTTACAACAAATACATATAATATTAATGCAGTAAGTAGTATTTTTATGTATGTCAGGGTTTTTTCTGTTTTCAAACCTCTCCTCTTGACAGCCTGGTATTTGTGGTCATCAATCAATTCCTAGTTTTACTGTTCAGTACTTCGTAATGTCAGTCAAATGTGCTGGTGATGGAATTTGAAAAATCTGTGCTGGAGGTGTCGAGGAGGAATCTGGAATAAAGCTGTTTACTGTCATGATGTTTATTTGCATTTATTCTAGTGATTCATTGTGTTTTTACAAGCACAGACATGCTTATTGCCACGACAAATGGTTTTAAATAATGCGCTCGGGTGCCTCTTACACTGTTGCACAGTGCTGTATGTACTATCTATAGGATGTATGTATGACACCAAGTCCTTCCATTGCATAAAACATCTGTCTGTGTGTGTTTCAGCTGCAGAGTGCGGGTCGTCTGCTGGAGGAACAGTTGCCGGAGATGATGACAGAGCTGCTAGCGGCGGTCAGAGATAAGATGCTGTGTCCTTCTGAGTCTCAGCTCACACGCTCTCTGCTGATGGAGGTCATTGAGCTCCACGCTCACCACTGGAGCCCACTAGAGGCCCTGACCACTCAGTACTACAACAGGACCATCCAGAAACTGACCGCGTGACACTAACACACTCATTAACGCACACGTGTGTGTGTGTGAAGATAAGATTCTGCTACAAGAGAGGGCTGGACCTGGATGGATGGATGGATGGATGGATGATTGGATGAGTAAAGAGATGACTGGGTAGATTTCCTCTTCCACTGCAGTGCCTGACCACTGTTTGATGTTTATTCTTGCAAAGGTTGGATGGATTATACTGCAGTGGATGGATGGAAGGATGGACGGATGGATGGATGTTTTTTTTTTTTCTCTCCCACTGCAGTCCACTCCTTGTTTAGTCTTGCAGCATATAATGAATGAATGAATGGGATGATGGATGGATGGATTGTACTGCACTAAAGGGTAGATGGATTGCATTGCAGTGGAAGGTTGTGTAGATGGAGGGATAAGTGGACAACAGGATGGATGAATGAATGAATGAATGAATGATTGGATGGAGGGGATGGATGGATTGTACTGTACTAAAGGGTAGATGGATTGCATTGCAGTGGATGGTTGTGTAGATGGAGGGATAAGTGGACAACAGGATAGATGAATGAATGAATGGGATGATGGATGGATGGATTGTACTGTACTAAAGGGTAGATGGACTGCATTGCAGTGAATGGATGTGTAAATGGAAGGATAAGTGGGTAACAGGATGGATGGATGGAGGAGTGAATGAATGAATTAATGGGATGATGGATGGATGGACGAACGAATGAATGAAGAGATAAATTTCCTTTTCCACTGCAGCGCCTGTCCACTGTTTGGTGTTTAATGGCTGTAAGGATTGCACTGCAGTGGATGGAGGGATGTAAGGATGAGTGGACAAATAAAAGGACTAATGAATGAATGAGGAAATCAAAGAATGAACGGATGGATGAATGGATACGTTTCCTCTTCCACTGCAGTGCTTGTCCACTGATGTCTGTTCTTGCAGTGGAAGAGTGGATAGGGGGTGGATGAATGGATAACAGGACAAATGGATGGGTGGATGTGGTGCGGATAAGTGCGTGGGGTTGGCCTAGGGGTCGAGGGTGAAAGGCTAATGATATGCAGATTTTAATGAATATGTATGTTCCCCTTTTTAGTTCCACGTCTGCATGTTAACGATACGGTCCAGACATAAAGCCAGACGCCTATTACATTAACCAACATACAGAAATGCCACATGCATAAACATGAGCAGACATGACGAGCTGTTAGTTCAGACAGAGGCGTATGGGGTGATGAAGGGGAAAAGCATACGCACATACAGACGCATGCGCAGTTACGCACATACAACACGTATAAGACAAGTGGCACCATGCAAAATTTTTAGGCACCTGAAGAAAATGTGTTTATAAAGCTTTTTAACTGGGCAGAAAACACTGATTTTAGAATAAATACAAACAACAATAAGCAGTGATTTTGTATGTCAGTGCATTCGTTTAACCATTTCCAGCCCTCTTTTCACGGCACCAGTATTACTTGTAGTTTTTATCCAGTATCTGATTTACCTAAACACTATACACTCTCACAAATAAAGGTACTAAACTGTCACTGGGGCAGTCCCCCTCTTGTCACTGGGGTGGTTCCCTCAAGGGTACATCTCAGTACCTTCAGTCAGGGAACATAACTGAACCATAATCCACTGAAATGATATGTTCTAAGCTGTACTGACTCCACACACCCCGTCTCGTCTCCAGGCTTTTATTTTACTGATCTGTTTTAAATCATTCGGTTATGAAAAGGTACAAATACGAACTTTTCACCTGGAGAAACTTATTTAAGGTTCACAATCAGACCTTAAAACCACTGTTGTACCTTTGAGGGAATATTCACATTTACACCGTTTGTACCTTGATGAACGAAAAATGTACCTGAACAGAACCTTTTATTATGTAAAACAATTTTTTTTAAATGAAACTGATTGATATAGTATATAAACACTCAAAGTTTCACTCTATGTAGTCATATATGGAAATTGTTCTGATAAGTATACACATTTGTAAACCTATCCAGCCTTCAGCAGTTTAGCTCTGCCCTTTTAAGAACTTCTAAGGAGTTTTTAAGTCTGGACTGCTTTTTATGTGAGGCTCATTGCGGGGCAGCCAATCAGAACAGGGCTCATTTGCATATATCTGTGATGAGAAAACCAGCCTGTTCAGTAAAGAGATAAAGAGAGGCTGAAAACAGTCATGTTAGAAACACATATTACAGTATGTGCAATATAAACACACACTAATGTTGTAAGTGGACCTGTGAGTGGAAGAATAATGAAGAATAAGAGAAACACAGGATGTGAGCCCTTTGACAAATCCACACAGAGGCTGGGGACGTGGAGGAGAAATCTGGAACCAGACTTCTAACTCGGTCGCAAGATATCAGCTACTTTTTAAAACAATTAAAAAAACGTTCATTTTTACTGCATTAATGTTTATGTTAATTTATTGTAGTGTTATTTAAAGGATTTTTAGTGGTGAAAGTACACTCACTGCCAAAATGAAGGTGCCTGAAACTGACAGTGCTAGAAAGTCATATGCAAAACTTTTGGCACCCATGGTCAAATATTTTACACACTGTATTTTGTTAATAAGTTAAAAAATACAGTAACAGATCCTGTACAGAGAGCACACTTTTGCACATTTTAATGCATAATTAGTGTTATTTTCGAAATGTGACACAGTGGGGAAAAATAAAATACATGGTGGCTTGTGCAAAAGTTATGGCACCCTTTACACACACACACATATATATATATACTCTACTTTTAATGTAAGTCAATGGAACCAGAGTTCTTTTCAAATAATTTTGGGCCATTTCTTTTAGTCCAGTCATCATAAAAATGATGCACGATGTAAAGGAGAACAGGCATTTTCAAATTATTTCTAAAATGAAAAACAGCAAAAATAAACAGTAACCATGCATTAAAAGGGGCAGACGTGTGTCTCAGTAGAGGATGTGTAACTTATTCACACTTTGAAAATCAACACAACATGCAGTTTGACCGAGGGGTGTTCAAACTTCTGTGACTGTACACACAAATGACTGTGTGCTTGAGGTCAAGACAAAAGCGAGGAGGGGGGTCTGTGTCAGCTTTTGAGTTTTTAACACTAGCAGATCGGGGGGCTACTGGGGAATTCCTGCTTTTCCTTTGTGTTCGTGTGCCATCCATCCACCCGTCCTCCTGCTCTCCATCCATCTCTTTGTGCCCACGCTCTCCTCCCCCTCTCCAGACACGTGCGCGCGTGTCATTGTGTCGCGAATCCTCTCCCTCGAGCACACTGTCGCCCGTCAGGCCCGTCTAGCCGAGGTCAAGCAGACAGGCTGCTTTTGTCTCACGCGCGCGCACGCCGCAGCCTGACTCTGGGTGGCAGATGGCCGCTGGAGACTAAAAGGCCAGACGCGCGCTCTCACAGGCCCCTCGTCCTCGTCCAGACCAGGCCAACCCAGCGGGAGTGTGTGTGTGTGTGTGTGTGTGTGTGGGTGTGTTTTGAGGGGGTTTGAGGGGGGTAGACGCTTTGCTCCTGGCCCCTTTTGTTGTCGTCCTTTTCCTCTTCAGGTTGTTTTTGTTTTTTGTTTTTTTTAATTTCCTCTCCCACTGCAGTGCTTGACCACTGCTTGGTGTTTATTCTTATGTATAATATTGTTATTGTAATGTTATTATTATATGGTAATTGATTTTTATTTTAATTAATAATGTCAGTTTAAAATCCACATGTATGTGTGTACAGTACTGTGCAAAAGTCAGAGACCACCCTTCATATAATTTCATTTCTAGTCAAAACAGCTGTTATTAAGTTTCCAGAATGTAGATATCAGATAATCCACTTGAGTAAAGAAAGGGAAAGAAGAGAAGGGCTGTCCAAAAGGGGAAAAAGGGCCTCCTAACAACCACCTGGAAGACCTGGTAGACACCAAAACTGCCCCCATCAGATAAACAGCACTTAAAGCTTTCATCTCTGAGAGAGAGGAGAAAATCAAGCTGCTTCAGATCTGAAAACATCCACAGGTGTTTCTGTCCATCCTTCTACTGTGAGAAGATGACTCAGCGCTGTGGGTCTGAAAGGATGTGTAGCTGTCAAGAAGAACCTCACTGAGAAAAGGAGACGGACACATCAAACAAAGAAGCTGAACGATGGACTGACCACCCCAGAGTCCAGACCTCAACACCACTGAATGTGTTTGATTACTTCAGAAAACGATCAACCAGCTTCTAAGACTGAACTTTGGAGGTGTGGAGAAACATCTCTGTACATAAAACTGAAAGTGAGTCTCTTGAAAAGAACAGCTGTAATAAGGGCGCCGGAAAATGAGTGACTTGTACTTAATGGCTGTTTTGACTGGAAATGAAATAAGCAAAGGGTGTTCTCTGTCTTTTCCACAGCGCTGTATGAGGACGAGGATGTTTTTAGGAGTTAGACCTATTGCACAGGTTTGATTATTACTTTCATTTTTTTTATTTTGCACTGTTTTAAGGCAATTGCTTTAAAAGTTGACAAAGAGAGAAATGTTGTTTTTTGAAAATGTGATCTGGGTTAGCCGCTCAGTAGGCGAACGAACTGGTTTAGAAGAGCAGGAAGGAGCTTTAGGATCTGATTTTAAGTGTTTTTGGGAGAAACTAGTGGCCTTTTGAAACTCCGGCAGGATTTTAGTTTAAAGACGGGGTTTAATTTTGGAGGCTGAGGCTTGAAGGCTGGTATGGAGATTAGCTGGATTAGACTTTTTTCCCTTTTTTTGCCCAGAGTGCAGCTTTCTAAGAGGAACTTGAGTTTAACGATGATAAACGCATGGCTAGAAGAAGAAAAGAATCAAATGCTCTCTATACCGTCTCGGCTGACCATATGAGGCATTTTTGCAGTGGACGTTTTTTGTGAGTCTTTACTCAAAACTTATATTTGCTTTCAAAAGTAACAAAACGAAGTGGAGTTGATTGGGTTTCTTTGCGGCTGATGAAATCTTTTAACAGTATATAGCTAGTAATCGTCCATTATTCTGGGCTTTTGCAATTGTGTGTATTCTGATATAACAAAAGCCAGTCTTCTATTTGTTAATGGCCTGCATGTAATCATATATATTAGCATATATGAATATTAAAACGAGGGGAACCTTAGGAAACATTCGAGACAGGGTGAGTAGTTGGTGGCCTTCAGCAGTTTATGTTTAGTTTTTGGGAGAAAGACACTTGCACACTCACACATACATACACACATACATACATACATATATACATAAAGTGCTGTGCAAAAACTACATAAAGCTGTTCATCAGGGCAGTAAGTGTGTATTTGTTTAACAAAAGCACTAACATTAAAATAAATACAAATAAACAGAGCATTATGATTTGATGTTTGGGAGCATTAACTATTTAGAAAGCTCTCCTTCTAGAACCCCACTCTCAGAAATAAAGGTCCTAAACTGTCACTGGGGCAGTGCCCCTCTTGTCCCTGTGGTGGTCTCCTCAAGGGTACAGCTCAGTACCTTTAGTCAGGGAACATAACTGAACCATAATCCACTGAAATGATATGTTCTAAGCTGTACTGACTCCACACACCCCGTCTCGTCTCCAGGCTTTTATTTTACTGTTCTGTTTTAAAACATTCGGTTATGAAAAGGTACAAATACGAACTTTTCACCTGGAGAAACTTATTTAAGGTTCATAATTGGACCCTAAAGCCACTGTTGTACCTTTGAGGGAACATTTACATTGTTTGTACCTTGATGAACGGAAAATGTACCTGAACAGAACCTTTATTTCTAACAGTGCAGTATCAACAGTTACTGTCCAGTCCCCAGTTTATCTAATCAGTCCTTCATTAAATTAAATCAGAAGCTGCTGGTCGAACTGCACAAATCCATGTGCTGACTGGAGTGTAGTGAGAAGACAGGAACCAAACCTGTGATCTTTACTGAAAATAAGATTAATCAAGTTACTTTTTACTGTATATATATATATATATATATATATATATATATATATATATATATATATATACTGCTGTCGGAACAAAACCTCATATCTCCAAAATGGTAACTTTACAGGAGAAGGAAAAAACATACTTTACTTTTAATGTAAGTCAATGGAACCAACCCCAAAGTCATTTTGGGTTGTTTCCTTTGGTCCATTCATTATGAAATGAAGGACAACAGACATTTTTTTAATTATGTCAAAAACTGAAAAAATTGAGATACAAGCTTTTTTCATTCAGAAAATGCCACATTTATGTTTGTTCCCTGTAGAGAATGTAAACTTATTTTCTCTTAGAAAATCAACAAAAAATTCAGTTTGATCAGAGGTGTTGAAACTTTTAGGTATGACGGTGTGTTTGTTTGTATTTACTCTAATGTTATATAGTGTTTTTAGTAGAAAAGACACACTTACTGCCCAGATAATGCTTGTAAACTATTTTATTGGGTTTCTAGGACTTTTGCACTGCACTGCACAACATCCAAGGTTTCCATTAAATCTCCGCTGGCAGGTTTGTATTCATATAATTTCTGTCTTGCATCAAGAATCCAAACGCAGAAGAAAAGCACACACGCGCTTCCCGAACCGATAAGGAACTTCACGGAAAACCGCGTGTGCTCGTCTTCGAAATCATGATTTTTTTTTTTTGTATCGTTTTAGGTTTTTATTTTATTTAATT